AAATAATATTTTTAGTATTTTTAGTGTTCTTTTAAGCATGTTCTACTTCAATAAATACATAAAGCTTATTTTTAAATTGTACATTTTAGAACTTGCCTTTTATAAAGTATTCCACTTGACATTATAAAGTTTGCAGGTTTATCTGTATTTGGTCAACCATAGCAAATAACCGCAACCACATCTCCACACTGAGGCAGAAATGACATTTCACCTCTGTGCTGCACCACAGAGCAGCATATTAATAATACATGGTGTTTTTACTATCTTATACCGTATTCAATGACATCTAATAAAAAAACAGAATTTGGTGTTAAAAAAGCCTTGGGCTTAACCTGTCTGGAGGATCATGAGTTGAAAACTGCATGTGTCCAAATTACTGTGAGAAACATTTCTTTGTAGTTTTTTTTTAGGATTTCTGTCAAATTATTGGTCTAAAACACATCAATCAAACATATTTTGACTTGTAAGACCCTCCCCCAGAAATGAAGCTAGTAATCTTGCCTATGTATGCATCTATTACAACAGCAAAGTGGTAATACTGCAGATTTTCACTGTGGATGAAGATGCTAATGGTACAAATTCTCCACAAATGGCATTTTTAAATACAGCCTACTTAGTGTGGACATGGACACACAGTTAACATAGCAAAGACTGTACAAAACCTGAATATTCAAAATGAAAACAAAACAACTTTTCCATTTGATATTATTACTATTGAGAGAGCTCATACCAAAACTACAAAAATAATGGCTTTCCACAGTGGAATTTCTGTCAATGGTGCTCTAGTTAAAGTGTTGCACAGACTGTCTTGCTGCTCAAGGGTCAAAAAGCAGTATTGATTTTAAAGCTCCTATCAATGTAGCTCTACTGTTTTGTTGTAAAAAGCAAAGAAGCTCTTTGACTCCTTGGTTAATATGTGAACTCTTCTCAAGTTGTAAGATGATAGAGTAACAGTGTTAATTGCTAATAAACCAGGATGGTGTGAAAATAAAAAAAAATGTAGCAGATTTTTTTAACATCATATAGACAAGCATATTTCAAACCCAATAGAGATGTCAAATGTTTCTGAAGATACCAAATGAAGTGATGCACAAGACATCTCCATTATTACCATTAACTATTATGTTTCAGGTAACTTTAGAAAACAAATGAAAAATTAAAAATGGGGTCAAAATACATGGATGCATGCAAATGCATGCATGTCCACACTTTTACACACAGAGATGCACCATTTTATTAGTAAACCCAATGTCGCTCAGCAGCAGCTGCAGGACACCAACCAGCAACAAGCAGCTCTTTGAATGAACTGTGACAAGGTGGTGTTCTTTCCCCCTCCCCCTGTCTTCTGTCTTCTGGGAACACTAATAGGCTCCATGCAGAGTAATTTGACCAATTGAATCATTCTCGCCCCAGAGCTGGAAGCAGCAGATCGGAGGAGCAGAGAGTGCCGTGTTCAGTCCAGCTCCCACATCAAGAAAACCTCTCTGGGGCGACACTTTCTGCTCAGGTCTGC